TCACAGTGACCGTTCAGGACAGGGTAGAAATGCGCCACAGGGCTGCCATGGATATAATCTTGATAGATACAGACTATCACATATTTCCTTAACGTGTCCATCCATTTGTCATACTGTGTTGACTTGCATGTTACTGTGAAGCTGGAAGATGTATCACCAGTATTTTAAATACCAGAAGGGTCACCCATGGTGGATAGTCTTCAAATAAGTTTCCAGACTAAGAATAGGAAGAAGGAGAGACAGACTACAATTTCATGGAAATGTACAAATGGCAGTAGAATACTGTCAGCACCAGAATATTGACTGTTAAACATGATGAAAAGCACCAGCACATTGTTAGAAACAGTGTTGGAATATGAACCTCCCAGATTTGGAACACACTAAAAACATGACTGGGGAAGAGCTGTCTCCTCAAAGTAGAGTTGGCCATGATGATGCAAGTGGAGTAAGCTTTTGAAACCTTCATGTGCTGATGAGTCACAATGAAAAATGAAGAGAAATAGCTGTAAATATCCATTAAAAGCCAGAACATGGAATATGTAACGTATGAATCTAGGAAAACTGGAAGTTGTCATAAATGAAATCAAAAGCATAAACATTAACATGCTAGGCATTAGTGAGCTGAAACAGGCTGCTATAGACCTTTTTGGATCTGACAATCACATGGTTTACTCTGCTGAGATTAACAAATTGAAGAGGAATGGAGTCACATTCATCAAAAAGAACATCTCAAGATATGTCTTGGAGTACAATGCTATGATGAACAATATTCATACACTTATAAGGAAGACCAGTTAATACATTATTCAGATTTATACACCAACCACTAAAGCCATTGATGATGAATTCAAAGAATCCTACCAAATTCCCCAGTCTGAAACTAATCAAACATGTAATCAAGTTGTATTGATAAATACTGACAATTGGAATGCAAAGGTTGAAAACAAAAAAAAAGGAATTAGTAGTGGGAAAATGTGGCATTGATGATAGAAATGATGTTGGAGATTGAATAATACAATTTTGCAAAGCATACTAATTAAAAATAACTTTTTAAAACAACATAAAAGATGGCTATACACATGGGCCACACCAGATGGAATACACAGAAATATAATTGACTACATCTCTGAAAAGAAATGGTGGAAAAGCTCCGTATCTTCAGCCAAAACAAGACTGAAGGCAGACTGTGAAACAGACCATAAATTGCTCTTATGCAAGTTCAGGCTGAAGCTAAAGAAAATTAAAATAAGTCCATAAAAGCAAAATATGACCATGAACACGTCCCACCTGAATTTAGAGATGATGTCAAAAGCAGCTTTAATGAATTAGGCACTAATACCTGAAGACCAGAAGAGTTGTTGGATGACATCAAGAACATCATACAGAAAGAAAGCAAAAGCTCATTAAGTAGACAAGAAATATGAAAAAAGACCATATTGGTTGTCAGAAGAGACTCTGAAACTTGCTCTACAGCAGAAAGATGCTAAAGAAATTGGAAGCAATGAGATAAAAGACCCAAACAAAAAAATCTCAATGGGCAGCTTGAGAAGACAAAGACAAATATTATAATGAAGTGTGCAAAGATCTGGAGTTAGAAAACCAAAAAAAGGAAGGACATGATCAGCATTTGTCAAGTTAAAGGAACTGAAGCAAAAAATTCAAATCTTGACTTGCTGTATTAAAGGATTATAAAGGCAAAATATTGAATGATGCAGACAATATCAAAAGAAGATGAAGGGAACACAGTGTCACTGTACTGAAAAGAAAACGGTTAATGTTCAACTATTTAAAGAGTCTAACGTTCACTGAAGGCATTGACAAGGAATAGGGCTCCTGGAATTGATGAAACACAAATTGAAATCTTTCAACAAGCTGATGTGGCAGTGGAGGCACTCACTCAACTATGCAAAGAAATTTGGAAGACAACTACCGGGCCAGCAGATTGGCAGAAATCCATATATTTGCCCATTCCAAAGAGCGGTATCTCAACAGAATGTGGAAATTATCAGATAATATCATTAATATCACATGCAAGTAAAATTTTGCTCAAAATAATTAAAAAAAAAAAAAAAACACAGCTGAAGAGTACATTGACTGGGATCTACAATAGGTTCAGGCAAGATTCAGAAGAGGATGGGGAACAAGGAACATCATTGTGGATCTCAGATGGATCTTATTTGAAAGCAGAGAATTCCAGAAACATGTTTACCAGAACTTTATTGACTACACAAAGTTTTTTGATTGTGTGGATCATGAAAAGCTGTGGACAACATTGCAGAGAATGAGTATTTCAGAACACATAAGTGGGCAATTGTTCAAACAGAACAAGGAGACAATCAATGGTTTTAAATTGGGAAAGGTGTGTGACAGGGATGCATTCTTTCACCACATTTATTCAATCTGTATGCTGACCAAATAATCCAAGCAGCTGCATTACATGAAGGAAAATGTGGCATCAAGATTGGAGGAATAGTCATTACCAATGTACGATATGCAGGTGATACAACCTTGCTTGCTAAAAGTGAAGTGGACTTAGAATACTACTGAAGTTCAAAGGCCCAGCCATTGGTATGGGTTGCATCTCAACGTAAAGAAAACAAAAATCATCACCACTGGACCAATAAACAACATCAAGATAGATGGAGAAAAGATTGAAATTGTTAAAGAATTCATTTGCTTGTATCAACCATCAAAATTCATGGAAGCAGCAGTCAAGAGGTCAAGCAACATATTGCATTAGCTCAATTTGCTGCACAAGAGGTCTTAAAGTGTTTAAGAACAAAGATGCCAGTTTGATTACTCAGGGGCTCCTCACCCAAGCCATGGTATTTTCATTAACCTTATATGCATGTTAAAGTGGGACAATGAATAAAGAAAACCACTGGAGAATTTATTCATTTATGCTATGGTATTAGAGGAGAATATCCAAATTACCATGGACTTTCAAAAGAATAACCAAATCTGTCTGGAAAGAAATACAACCAGAATGCTCCTTGCATGCCAGGATGGCCAGACATCAGCTTTCATCCTACGGGCATACTATCAGGAGGGACCAGTCCCCAGAGAAGGATATTATGCCTGGTAAACTGGGGAGGCCAGAGAAAAAGAGGAAGACCCTTAAGGAAATGGATTGGCACAGTGCCAGTAGCAATGTGCTTAATTGTAGCAATACTTTTGAAGGTGGCTCAGGACCAGGCAGTGTTTCGCTCTGTTGTGTATAAGGTCGCTATGAGTTGGTACTGATTCCATTGCATTTAACAACAACTACGATCGCATCTTTGTTCTATGGGGAGGCTGGTGGTCTCACCAGCCTTTATGTTAGCAGCTGAGCACTTAACCATTGCACCACCAGCACTCCTTACAACTATACTAAGATATAAGTATTCTTAATAAATCCCCTTTTCATATATGGGGAAAGAGACATAGTCCATTTAAATAATTTAATTAATATTACAGACTAATAGGGAATTAGATATTGATTTGAACTAAATTAAGCCCCATATGCATACTATTTATGAAAGTACATCATTATTTGTATTCTTTTTTTTTCTTAATGTTTTATTGTGAATTATGTGATAGTTTACTTGGGAGAAAATTAGTTTTACATTCATCCTATCGTATATTATTTCATTGCTATTGTTATAATCCCCTCCATTCATAATCAACCAACCAAAGGGTATACACTACAAGCCTGCCCCCAGTCATCTGCACACAGCCCCTTTCTCTCTCTGTGTCTAAAGTCCCCGTCAGCCCCATCTCTCCACGTCATTGTCTCTGCTTCCATCTCAGGCATCACTGCTTCTCTGGGTAGGGTCCTGCTCTCCGTTCTTCTCCCTTGATGGTCCCAGGGACCTCTGCTCTTAGGCCGAAAAGTTAATCACTCCCTTCCTTGCGAAAAAATGTTTACCTTTATAATTCCATCCCTCACAACCAGTCCAGATAACAATTATTTACTATTGTATCCCAAGAGATCCATCTAGATTTCATTTCATCAGCCCCGCCTAGATAGATTGTATACTACTCAGTGGAGATTCTACCTTCCTCCATGCCCATGAATCTAGCTTCCCTCTTGAAAGCTTGTAAGCCAGTCACTTCGTGCCTTTGTAGCCCCCCCATTTTGGGTAGCCAATGTCTAAGTTGCCCATCCCTGTCTACTCTGTGTATGGAGGGGATGGGAATGTATTCTTATAATATAGTTTGTATCTCAATTTTAAATCAGAAAAATAATTTAAAAGGTCTGGTTGAATTTGGGAGATGATATCTGGAAGAACTGAAATATGTGTTTAACTCTAAATGGGCAGAAGTAAAAGAAAAAGAACTATTTGTTTCTGAGAGAACTGGAAATACATGATGGCAAAAGGGCCCAGTCCACTGACCTAATGGAAGGTGGAAAACCATGTTAGTGCAGCTATGTAAAGGTTGCACAAGGTCACTTACATTCTGTTTGGGCATTTAGTAGGTCTTGGAGAAAACTGGCTGAATGAAGTAGTCAGAAGGGCTCAATTTAGTTCAAGATTGGAGTATCTCTGGGATGACCTGCATCCAAAAAGTAGGAAGACACAGGTAAGAAGAGACAGAAGGGAAAGGAAGTGAAGAAATCAGAGAAACAGATAATATGTACTCTTAGACTATTTCTCTTTTGTGTTTGAAAGAAGGGAATGACTAATTGAAAAGCTACTACCCTGGAATGCTGAATTCCTTAGTCTATTTCAATATTAAAACTATCAGGCAAGTCATATTTTCCTAATATTACACTTGAGAAAGACCAGGTTAATGATTATCTGTTATTACACAATGCTTCAAAATTAGCAAGTTGCAGAACTACAATTCAAATCTACTTACCACTAATGTGGAAAACTTTTTTTGCATTGTTCAAGAATTAGATGATGGGATGCCCAGTGAGGCAGAGAACCTGGCCTTAGTGTTTTCAGGCGGAATCGGCAGCTGAGCGCTGAAGAGGCCTTTCATGATGAGAGTTTTTGCCACGCTTCTCTCTCAGTGTAGTTGATAGTTTGCATGGTGAAGACATGGCAGACAGTGTCAAAACCTTTCTTCAGGACCTTGCCAAAGGAATCAAGGACTCCATCTGGGGTATCTGTACCATCTCAAAGCTGGATGCTCGAATACAGCAAAAGAGAGAGGAACAGCGTCGAAGAAGGGCAAGTAGTGCCCTGGCTCAGAGGAGAGCCCAGAATATAGAGCCAGAATTAGAGCGTGATCCAGGTATTTTTAGTAGAATTTTCCAGTGCTGTGCTTGGAATGGAGGAGTATTCTGGCTTAGTCTCCTCTTGTTTTATCAAGTGTTTATTCCTATACTTCAGTCTATAACAGCAAAAATTATTGGTGATCCATCACTACATGGAGATGTTTGGTCATGGCTGGAATTCGTCCTCACATCAATTTTTAGTGTTCTTTGGGTGCTTCCACTGTTTGTGCTTAGCAAAGTTGTCAATGCCATTCGGTTCCAAGACATAGCTGATCTGGCATTTGAGGTATCAGGGAAGAAGCAACCATTATCTAGTTTCAGCAAAATCATTGCTGATATACTTTTCAACCTTTTGCTGCAGGTTCTTTTTCTTTTCCAGGGGATGTTTGTGAGTCTCTTTCCCATCCATCTTGTTGGTCAGCTGGTTAGTCTCCTGCATATGTCCCTTCTGTATTCACTATACTGCTTTGAATATCGCTGGTTCAATAATGGAATGGAGATGCACCAGCGGCTGTCAAACATAGAAAGGAATTGGCCTTACTACTTTGGATTTGGTTTACCCTTGGCTTTCCTCACAGCAATGCAATCCTCATACATTATCAGTGGCTGCCTCTTCTCCATCCTCTTTCCTTTATTCATTATTAGTGCCAATGAAGCAAAGACCCCTGGCAAAGCATACCTTTTTCAGTTGCGCCTCTTCTCCTTGGTGGTCTTCTTAAGCAACAGACTTTTCCACAAGACGATCTACCTGCAGTCTGCTCTGAGTAGCTCAACTTCTTCAGAGAAGTTTCCCTCACCACATCCATCTCCTGCTAAACTGAAGGCTGTTGCAGGCCACTGACTTCAACTGCTTCTCCAGGGGCTGGGCAGGATTGTGATGCTGTGGCAGATCTTCCTGTTTGCCTCTCTCTACCCAGGGAATGTGGGACCCACTCTGCCAAGAGCCCTTTGCATATTCTCTTCTCCGAGGAATTGGGGTTTTTGTTTCTGGAGCCCTTAGGCAAAATCTTACTGATAACCAGTATGTGGATTTTTAACACCCTGCGTCTGAAAATACCACAGGTTTTTCTGTAGCTATTTTCTAGCATTTGTGGGACTCTGTGCCTGGACTGATATTTTTCTTCCTATGCCATTTATCCTTCTACCTCCCCTTCTTGCCTCCCACCCTTGGATGAATGGAATTTGGAAATCTAGCTGTTTTAATTGGTGGGGGGAGAGGGGGTTCTGTAAAGCTGCATATGTAGGATGTGGTGGGTGAAAGAGTATCTCAGTTGTTCCTTGTCACTCCTTTGTAGCCATCACTGTCTTGTTTTTTTTTTTTTTGTAACTCAGGTTAGGTTTTGTTCTCTCTTGTTCAACCAACCACAAAACGATGTAATGAGAGGACAGAGATCAGCTAATCTGTTGGGTTTTGAGTGACTTTTGTTCTTCCCCTTTGGGGGTCGATTTTCTTAACTAGTACATAAAAGTATCTCAGCTACGAGGAATTACCAATTCTGGACAAGTACCACTGCAACAGAGACTGTTCAGAGAATCTGATCTTTTTAAACTTTGGAGGCCTGAAATTTATTGCTGGTCTTTGCCAAGTCTGTTATTTCAAAGGAATATTGGGGCTGCAAATACAAACTGAAGGGTAAATATGTTAAACCCATTGAAAAAAAAAAAAAAAAGAATTAGATGATGGGGAATAGCTTTAATTTCATAGTAATGATAACATACCAAAGTATCCATAGCTATTGTTGTTGGTAAGTGCTATCAAGTTGATTTCAACTCATAATAAACCTGAATAGGGTCTACATGGATGAAGATCTTGGCGGGAACAATAAACCTTATCTCTTTTCCAAGGATCACAAGTTGGGCTCGAACCACATACCCTGTGGTTTGCAGTCCAATGCTTATCATATGGAACACCTCCACTCCCCATCCACATTTTTCTTAATATCATATGTTTATTATTGCCTGTTTAATTTTATGGTAACATGTTGTTGTTGTTAAGTGCCATTGAGTCGGTTATTACTCATAGCAACTCTGTATAGGGTCAAGGAGCAATTGGTGAGTTAGAACCGTGCTCTTGTGCTTCAAGCAGACATTGGGGTTCAATGCCGCATCCCACAGTACCACTTCAGGACTCCAATGGTAATACAACTTTATGAAATTCAGAATATAATAAGGAAGACACCTTAATATGGCGGGGATTTATCAATAATAATCACTGCACATAGATTCACTTCAAAAAGGTGCAGTAAGATTCTGAAAAGAATATTACCTTCATAAAAGTGACAAGGAAATGATAAACTCTTTCAGAACACAGAAATTTCTGAAAAATTCAGTGTTTATTCAAGGAAAAAATGGCAGAAACTTGCTAATAAACAACTCTGACTTTTTAACTTACCTTATACGACACTTAGCAACAACAACATTCTTATGCTATGCTAATGAGTTAGCCTTGAAAGTGAGAATCCACAACTAAGATAATATAAACATGAGTGACATAGTTACTGAAGGGCAGAAGACAGGATGACTCTCGACAAAAGTCAATCCCCAAAGAGTAGTTACTATTTAACCAATCCGGCAGCTTACGAAAAGATTCCTTTTCAGAAAATGACTCAATTTGTGTGAGCTATACTACCCACTGGACATTTGTTGGGCGTAGGGGGAAACATGGAAAATTTTAAATATCTTTGTTGCTTGTAACAGCATTATTGATTAGAATTTATGATAATTTGACCAAAATAATTAAAAATAGATGAAAATACTGGGTGGTGAGACACATTTAAGTATTTCAAATGCTCTTATATTCATATTCTTGGGAACCTAAAAACCAAGGAAATAAACAAATCTGTATACATGCTCAGAGTTGTGTAAAACACAGGAAAAACATGAGAAGACCACAAACTCAATCAGGCTAAGCATAAGACTTTGAACAAGCAAAAAGTGAAAGCTAAGACAGAGTAAAATTGAATTGTACATGTATCCCAATTTACATATATAGTCCTTCAACAAAGCTGTGTTACTTACTGGTTCAATTAATTTCAGGAAATCACGAGTCTATTACTAAACTGGCTTAGAAGAGAATTCATTGATTGCCCATGAAAAAGAATACGGTCTTTTGAAAATTATCTCAGAAAAAGTACTAAAACAAAACAAAACAAACAAAAAGTGACAATAATAACCATTCAAAAGAGCAATAATGGTAGATCCTAAAAAGGGATTTTATTTCTATAATGTCTATATTCAGTAATCCCAGTGTCCAGTTTTCAACAAGAATTTGAGGCACACAAAGAAAAAAGACAATGTGACACATAAACATCAAAAATAAAAAGCAGATAGAAACAGCCTCTGAGGATGCTCAGACTTAACTATTAATAAATACTTTAAATCAACTACAACATAAGGAAACTCAAAGGTCTAAAGGAAAGTTTGATAAAAATTCAAGCAATTTATGATAACATTCTCTCACACAAAAGAATATATAAATAGAGCTTTACAAATTACTGATATTGTCCAATGATTTCCACATTCCTTTGGGTCACTCCTCTTTGGAAGGAGCACAAATACAGATCTCTTCTAGTCAGTTGGTCAGGTAGTTGTGTTCCAAATTTTTTAGCATAGATGAGTGAATGTCTCCAGTGCTGCATGAATTCATTGCATTCAGTCAATTCCTGGTGCCTTGTTCTTTGCCAATGACTTCAATGCACCTTGAAATTCTTCCTTCAAGATCACTGACCATTGGTAGTATGTTACGTCTATAAGTTGTTGAACATCGACCATTTCTTCTTGCTACAGTGACTCTTTGTATTCCTTCCATATTCTGTGGTTTTTGTTTTGTTTTTTAAGTTTTTATTGTGAATTGAGTTGAACAATAGAACAAAACACAGCCCAGTTATGTACCATCTGCACAAACATTGTTATGTCTGAGCCCATTGCTATTGCCACTGTGCCAATCCATCTCATTGGGTGTCTTCCTCTGTGTTACAGACCCTTTACTTTACCAAGAATCATGTCTTTCTCCAGAAAGACACTGGTCACTCATAAGAGCATGTTTTAAGTATGAGAGATGAAGTCTTGCCATGCTGGCTAAAAAGGAGCATCATGCTATTTGTCTTCCAACAAAGTTGTGTTTGTTCTTCTGACTGTCCATGGTACTTTTTTTTTAAGGTTTTTATTGTAGATTGAGTGAAAGTTTACAAGGCATATCATCAGTTTTACATTCAACAAATCATATACCTTGTTTCATTACAATGATTATAATCCCCTTCAAATACCATCAGTTAACAGTATTTCTCTCTATCCACATTAGCTTTTTAAAAACAAAAGGAAACAAACAATAAAACATTCAAGCATTTATAATAATTTACATCTCCAAAGGGCACATTCTGCATGTCTGCCTCCTAGTCCCCAGCTCTTAGTCCCTCTCTTCTTAGTCAATGAATCTGGAGTCCTCAGCCACTCCCTTTCTCTATGTCCCCATGTCTGCCTCCATCTCTGATGCCGCTGCTTCTCTGGATAAGGTCCTGCATTCTGTTTGTGCACTTCTTCCTTGATGGACCTAACTAGGGTCTTCTTTCTGGTCTGTAAAATTAACCACTCCCCTTTTTTGTTACAAAACTTCTACCTTTACAATTGTGAGAGTCACAATTAGTCATGATAACAATAATTAACTATTAAACCATAAGAATCTTATCCCATCACTTCTCCACTTAATGTGTTTTAGCCCTTTGTCAAAGATTACCTGGCTGTGGATAGATTTACTTCTGGGTTCTAAATTCTTTTCCATTTTTCTATATATCTATGATTGTACCAGTACAAGGTTGTTTTGACCATTGTGACAGTATAGCAGATTTTGAGATCAAGAATGTGAGAACTCCAACTTTGTTCTTCTTAAGTAATGCTTTGCTTATGTGAAGTCTCTTTCATTTCCATATAAAGATAATGGTCAGTTTTTTGCATTTCTTTAAAGAATGTTGGAATCTAGATTGACATTGTATTATATCTATAGAGTGTTTTGAGTAGTATTGACATTTTCACAATGATGTCTTCCTATCCATGAGCATAGTACATTTTTTCATTTTTATAAGTCTCCTTTGGTTTCTTACAGTAGTGTTTTGTTGTTTTCTTTGTATATATCTTTTGTTTCTCTTATGAGATTTGTTGCTAAATATTTGATCTTTTGAGAATTTATTATAAATGTTATTGTTTTCCTAATTTCCTTTTAAGAACTGCATTAGTATAGAGGATTCCAATTGATTTTTGTATGTTGATCTTGTACCTTTCCATTTTGCTGAGTCTTTTAATGAGTTCCAATAATTTTCTTGCTGCATCTTTGGGATTTTCTATGTATAGGATAATACCATCTACAAATAGAGAGATTTTGTTTCTTCTTTGCCTATTTTAGATGCCTTTAATTTCCCATTCTTGTCTTATAATTCTGGCTAAGATTTCGAACACAGTATTTAATAAGATTGGTGATAAAAGTCATCCTTGGTGACTGGCTTTTGGATTTGCATATATGCCTTTACTTCTT